GGGGGGGAAGGCCAAAGAAGGCCGGCGGCAAAGAGAGATGAGGGGAGAGGGTTTGGGTGTGAAAACTGAAAGTAATCTCAGTTTTAATTGAGATGGGAGGGAAATCTAAGTGAAATCAACTTCAAATTTCAATTAGATTAGGGGGATTAATGAGAGCCATTAATGGGAGCCACAAGAGGGGGGGCGGCGGGATGAGTAGAGGGAGAGGAAATTAGGGAGAGAGGGAGGGGATTTCCAATCCAGGATGATGACTAAGCAAGTTTCTAAATAACTCCAATTCAATTCAAATCTTGAAATTTGAATTCATTCAAACTTTCCAAAAATGAAAATTTTCCAAATTAGGAAGAATTTCAAATTTTGAAATTTCAAATTCACGAGCGGTTACGAATGAGAGGGGTGGTGGGAGGGTGGTCGTGAGGGGAAGCCGGCGGTATAATGGACGGTCGGTGGGGCTAGGTTGGCCGACGGGTGGGGGAAGCCCAAGGGGTTCGGCGGCCAAAGCTATGGGAAGGTGTGAGAGCTTTGAGTGGATAAGAGAAGGTAAATAAAAAAAACTGTAGATAACTCACTAAGAGATCTCAAGTTTGAAGAACTCACCAAGAGATCCTCATGCACTCACAGAGAGAACAAAAGTAAGAAATTTTCATTAATCCAATCAATAGTCTCATACAAGATACAAGGGCCATATAAATAGGCTCCAAATAAAAGTAAATGCAAAAGTCTAAAATGCCCCTTGGGGCTACAAGAACAACTAATACCCTCAGGGGTAAAATGGGAAACTACGAAAATAAAGGCATAACATATAAATTGCTGGTACAAGTAAAATCAATAATAGAGACTCTCAATCATGGCCGTCGATCTCCGTGGTCGTCTCTGATAGACGCGCCGAAATCTCCTATCGATGACCTCATCACATATGAGAGTTAAAAATCATGAATATGGGATCCAAGTTTAAATTAAAGTAATAAAAACACAAGAGTAGGTGATGTAGAACGAGGGGGGGATTAAAGAGGCATTTTAATGCGTACTTAAAATAATAAATTAAGTTTGGAAAGAAGTAATTAAACCTCTCTTAATTTAAAATTTAAATAGGAATCAAATTAGGAAGTTTCCAAAAATAGATTTCATAATTTTGGTAACTCCCTTCATGCTCAAATTGGATTAGATTAGAGGAATTAAGGGTTTGATTGGGGTGATATTAATGAGCTAATTAATTAAATAGGGAATGGGGAGGGGGCCGGCCAAAGAGGGGAGAGAGAGGGAGTCTAGGTTCAATGTATATGGACCCTTGGCTTTAATTATTGATTGGAAATCATATTTAAAATCTGATTTAAGATTTTATTCAAAGGAAAGAAATTTTCTAAACTAATTCATCAATTAAGAAAGTATTTAAATTCAAATAATGATTTGAATTTAAATAGGAAACTTTCCTAATCAATAAGAAACTATTTTAGGAAAGCAATTAAGAGGAGTTTGAAATTTGAAATTTAAAATTCATGGGATTTTGGAAGGGTGGCCGAATTCACTCTCCTAATTAGGATTTACTAATTAGGTTGGGATTTAATGTCCAATCCAAATCAAATTAATTTTAAATTTGATTTTAAAAACTTTCCTAAAATATGATTCTATTATAAAAGGTTTCAAATTTCAAATTTGAATTAATTGATTTAAAATTAAATGACTTTCCCAAAGAAGTTAAGCAAGAAAGGAAATTATTCAAGTGGAGATTGAAGAATTGGAGGCAAGGGAGGGGGATGGCAATCGGCGGCTTGGCTAGGAGTGGTTGACATGGGCCGGCGGTTAGGTGGACTTTAAGGGGCTGATTTGGAGATGTGGTGGTATGTTGAGGTTGGTGGGTGTGGGAGGATTAGGTGGCCGACGGTAAGGAATTTGGTGATGCCTTAGGCCGGCGGCTTGGGGTGGAGAGAGGGGAGGAGGAGAAAAGGATTTAGGGAAAGAAAGATACAACCGTGAGCCCAGACACATCCTGCAGCTGACGGGTAGTACGTTGCCCTTCTCCAAGGGACTTCACGCCACGAGCCCGGACCCATCCTGCGGCTGGTGGAAACTCCGATTCCCTCCCATAAGAATCTCACTCAAGTTCTATCCGAAGAACACAAGTGCAAACAAAATTTCATTAATAATCCATCATTGCATTACACAAGCAAGGGCCTCTATATATAGGCCTAAGAAACTAAAACAAGACACATATGCCCCTATGGCTTACATAGGACTACCCTCTTAAGTAAGGGTAAAAAGAGAAAATTTATAATAAAAAATAAAAATTACAAATAACAAATTAAGGTAAGGTGGAATGTTCTCGGCCATCGATCGTCGTCTCCTCCTTTGAAAATCTTCATGATCGGATGTCCGCATCAGTAGGAGATCATATCATTTAGAGAGAGAAAGCATGATCCGAATGGTTTTTCCAGATAATTGGCTAAGTTATTGAGTTTGTCAATTTTTTCTAGATTAAGTCCTCATTACACAAGACAATGCTTTTTTGTAATCTTTATTTTCACCATAGCTTGAGAGTTTTGTGTAGAATTTCTAGCATTTTTTCTTTAATGTGTTATTCTTAATTAAATATAAGTTCTATATATGAAAACGATCAGAATTTTGCGCTCTATTTTCTAAAATTATTCCCGTCGAAATCTGACAACCTCAAAATTTTCACTTAAAAACTCGTCGCGGCGCTTTGAAAAGCGTGCGAAGCCTAAAACGACGTTTTCGGGTTTTACAGTTTGTGGGTTTGAAAAATGTTGGCAAGAATGATCATGTAGCCAATGGCTCCTGAATCTAGGATACATATGAGAGTTAAAAATCATGAATATGGGATCCATGTTTAAATTAAAGTAATAAAAACACAAGAGTAGGAGATCATATCATTTAGAGACAAAAAGCATGATCCGAATGGTTTTTCCAGATAATTGGGTAAGTTATTGAGTTTGTCAATTTTTTCTAGATTAAGTCCTTAATACACAAGACAAAACTTTTTTGTAATCTTTATTTTCACCATAGCTTGAGAGCTTTGTGTAGAATTTCTAGCATTTTTTCTTTAATGTGTTATTTCTTATTGCAGTGGATGCACCATAGATTTCCTTTGGAAGAAGGCTATTATCCTTCTTTAGGGGAAGATTGTGGAGTAGAAAATCTCATACCTTTAAGATTTGGTAGTTATCAAGACAGATGTTTTGGAGATCGAAGCATCGAGCATTACTGTCATTCTTTCTTCAACTTGAATGAGAGAAGTAATCTAATTTAGTGATGGTAAATTTTCTTTGCTAAAGGTTTGGACACAAATTTGGTCGAAGTCAATATTAAGTTTTTCAAGGAACTCAAATGCCCTTCCCCTTTGTACAAATTGTTTGAGAATTATCACATTCTTACTATATGTCATCATGAGATCATGGTAATAAGTTCAAATCATAAACCTTCATTGCAATAAAATATTGAATACCATCAAGGTTATCTTGATTTGTCGTTGAAATATTAATTTTGATCTTATAAATGATGGCAGCATCCTTTACTTTTGAGTAAATTTATTTAACAGCATCCCAATCTCCATTTACAATAGAGAGAAACATAAATGGTCAACTGATTTCAATTATCAGGGTATTTCACAACTAAATCAAGATCATGGAATCTGCTTCATCTGAAAGTATAAACTTTGGATCCTTCGACTTTGGAGGAAGATCCACAAGGCAATGAATCTTTCATTTTTCCTTTCAAAAAGTCTTCACAATTTAGGACTACATATGGTTTCTGCGGGTAGAGTAAAATAAGAGTTGTAGCTTCTATAGTTCTCCCTTAATCTAATTTGCACCATTCATAAGGGTTGACTACTTTGAAGAGAAGTTTTCGAAACAAGACATAATTAATAAAATGAAGAATCCGGGCAAAAAGAAAGAGAACAAAGATTGGATGAAAGAAAACCAAGCCTCATTTGATACCATGTGGAAAATTAAAAAATTAGAAAAGCTATTTTGAATTTTATTGCTTGACTTTGTAAAAATGTGGAAATGATTCATGTAGCCGACCCCACGTAGTGGGACAAAGGCTTGATGTTGTTGTTGTTTTTGTTGTTGTTGTTGACTTTGTAAAAAATGTGGAAGCATATATAATCATCTCCAAAAGTATTATAATGAAAATAAACCAAAATGATTTTAAAAAAAATCCATAAGAGGGATGGGCGGCTAGAAAAGGTAATGTAGGGATCTCATAATAAAATTGATCTAATGGATAAAATCTTTAATCCATGTGCTCAAGCATCTCTACAAATTTAGTTGACTTATTGCTCCCACCAACGGCTAGCCATGTGTGGAAGAAGGGCAAAAGCCCCTATTTGGGTCGTCCGCTGTGATATTGGCCCACAATTATTCAACAAAAGTATTTCCAACATTAAAAGCTCAACATCCATTGAAGAAATGCCAAATTGTCTAGTTAAATTTTCAGAATTACATCTTAAAGATCAAAATACACTTCTTAGAGTTCATATAATCCAACTTAATTCAAAGCCAGACCTTATCAGAGGTTAAGTGATTTAGCTCTAAATTGTGCTGCATGTTTCCCAAACTTGACCTGTCACCGTCTGTTAGAATGACCTGCACGCAACATTGATCAGGTAAACTTTACCGATTTAACTCATATGCATAAATGATTATAAAATAACCCGCGTAAGCTTTCCACATGTAAAAACTTGAACTATGCCGACCAATTAAGGAAAATTAACACAAAATAGTTACTGCATTTCCTCTTCTTGATCAACAAATTTTAGAAAGTCTCGTTTTATACAATGAGCCTTCCATCCACAAACAACCCTTACCAGGTTTTCATGAGTGGTCCCTTCACCAAATTATATTTCGAGGCTTAGTTCTTCTAAATATGATGTATTGATTGTTACGCTCTCTTTTATACATTTGATAAAGTGATTACTACAAGATCATTGCAAACTATCTAAAAAGGATTTCCTCTTATTCCATGTACATGACCTTCGTATTGTTATGGATGTCATATGAAATTCATCTGATTCTAATTGTTAAAGAGAACTTCATGCAATACTACACAAAAGTTATTATTATAAATAAATGAATTATGAAAAGAATGCAAAGAATATGATATATAAGAATTACTGTATGTGTATAATGAAAGATGGATTTCAACCACTCATGATTGTACTGGAACATAAAATGATGGTCTGTTCACAGGTTTGGAAAAATAAAATGAGTTTGATATACCTGAAATGATACAATAAAAAAGGTGCTCCAATGATAGTTATATTATATAAAAATGACATGGTATATTTTTTTCCTATTTCATGCTATTAATTCACACCAAAATATTCCAGTTCCTTTTAACATTTTTAGCACTGAATTAAATGCAGATGATCCTTGACCATGTAATGGATTTCCTTATGATAATTAGCATCAATACTGTTTCCCATATCTTTAGGGTTACTGTATATACAGGAGAATAGAATCAGTGAGAGAAGGGAATTTTTGTCTTGATGGGGAACAACAAGTGAAAGGTAATTATGTCATATTAATTGTTGTACAAACTATAGTAGATTTTAAAATAGCATGAACTTTAAGAATCAGTGGCTCCTTTGACGTACTGAAAATTAATGTTATAAGAAAGTCTATGAACATTTTTTTATATATATTTTTTAATGTTAGTAGAAGTATCTAAATTTTCATCAGACTGAAAGCTTGCCTTAGGATTCCAAGCTTTTGGGTCAGATCATGATAGTGGACATATGATATTATGAAAGACCATGGGAAGCTTATCCACTTGTCAAATACTAAATCAAATATTGCTTATGCAATAAATATTGTAAAAAAATTCATTCACAATCCCAAAGAATGGCATCTCATGGGCACACCAGGAAAAAGAATATAGAACCTACAATATAGATAATATTTGAAGGGCACACCAGGAAAAGGAATTTTAATTAAGAAAGGAGAGGAATGGACACTTGAGGCCTACACAAAAGTAGGTTATGCAGAATTTATTATTATACTTCACGAGTAATGGCATATTCTTAGAAGGCAAAATAATGAACTGGAGGGAAAAAAATGGAATGTTGTAGTAAGATATCTTGCAGAAGTTGAATTTAAACCAATGACACCAGAAAATTATGATTTATTATGACTAAAGGTTGTCTTGGAAGATCTGAAAATCAAGTTAACAGGTCTTACGAGGCTTTCTTGTGGCAAGACAACCATCAATATTTGCAACATGACCATACAAAGCATTGTAAAATTAAAAGGAATTTTAGTTTAAAAAACAAAGCTTAATAGTGGCCTAATCTAAACTCCTTTAAGACCACGGGTGATCAACTTGCAGAAATACTCACTAAAGGTTTATCCAGGGCTATTTTTCAAAGATTATCCAATAAGTTTGAAATGAATGACCTACATTCATCAATTTGACAGGAGCCTGAAAAGTTCGGCCCCTCCTGAATAGGGAGATTTAATTCTCTGTCTAATTCTTGGCTTTCCTCAATGCATTAGAATATCGTGCATAACTGGAGAAAGGAGGATCTCTTGATAATTCTTATTGTGTTGTATTTATTATGTAGTTATTACAATATCTGGTTTTAGGGATTTGACTCATGTCATATTTTTCCGGAAATTAGATAGTTTCCTATTAGGACATTTTGTAGAATTGCTCTTAATTCTTATTGATGCTATCAAAGTTGTTATTTCAAGATAGAGTTTCCTTAAATTATGGAGAAGATTTAAGATTGAATAGAATTAAAATCTGTTGTACATTCCCAAAAAAAATGGTTATAACAAAAAATTCATTACCAAATCCTCTACTTCCTCTCCCTAACTTATAGTCATTTATTTTCCTACCTCTCCTACAGAGGCTGACTTCTACTCCCAACCACCAACTGCTAGCAGCCGTGACATTGCTCTGTCGCTGACTTTAACAACCTTCCAATGCTTGCTGGCATCACTCCTGCTGTTGTTCCAGGTCTCGTTGAAGCCAACACAAATAGGAAAAAAAGCTCCTATAGGCAGTTTGCCGCAAACCACAGGCTGAATACAACAATCTGCTTGCTGTACCACGAGAAAATAACCAAGAACACAGGAGAATACTTGCTTTCTACAGAAAGGATAATGCAAAATCAAGGAGAGGGAGGCTTCTAAAAAAAATAAAACCCAAAGGTATCACTATTTAGATTAATAGATCAATAGTGATTCTCAAAAAAAATTTGTATAGCACTTTCCTCTGTGCTAGCCTTTTTATTGTGGACTTGCTCCATTACGTTAAGTGGTTAGCATTGTATCAGTTTTATACGGTTAGCATTGTATCAGCTTTAAGTGTTAAGTGGTTCCACGCTGATTTGAGGATTTTTTTTCAGGGATGTACGGTCTATAATAATGTAAAACCCGCAAAATGCTGTTTTAGACCTCGCACGCTTTTCAAAGCACCACGACGAGTTTTAAGTGAAAAATTCAAGTTTGTCGGATTTCGATGGAAATAATTTTGAAAAATTTTACGCAAAATTCTAAGAAATTTGATATATAAAACTTATATTTGATTTTGCTTAATTTAGGAATTTAAAATTCATCGAAGTCTCATAATTCCAATAATACCTCTAATGTTTATTCAAGCATGGGTTATTTAAGTGAGGGCAAAATTGACATTATGGAAATCCCTTTCTCTTAAGGGGACCGAATGGAATTCGGTCCCCATTTCTTTTCTTCCGCCCGAACTCACGAAGAGGAGAAGGCGGACGGGTAGGCGGACGAGAGAGGAGAACGGGTGGCTCCGACGGCGGATTCCGGCGGCCAAACTTGCGGAAAATTGTAGGGAAGATTAAGAGAAGGCTAAGGTGAGTCTTTATGAACCATTTCCCATGTTTTTCCTTAGGGTTTTCTCAAGAAAAGATTTCTAGGGTTTGAGAAAACTTTGATTTTCTTTAAGAATTTTAATGGGGGATTATTAGGGAATGATTATGAGATATTTTTATGTATAGAAATGTGATTTTCTTTGGAAGCTTTGAGTTGGAGAAATTTAGGGTTTTTCCATAAAATTAGAAATTTTGAAACTACTTTTATAAAATTGATTCCTAAGGGTTCTATGATAGTTTCTAAGGGAAGAAATTGAGTTTTTCTTTCAAAATGTATTTTCCTATTTTTCTAATTATTTTAAATCCGAAAATATATTAATTTATTTATGAATTAGGTGTAAGGAAGAGTTTGGCATGTTTATGTGAGGGAATCATTGAAAATGTGTTTTCCAAATTTAGGGTTTTAAGGTAATTCTGAAAATAGTATTTATTTTAAATTTATAATGAGTGTAGGGAATGATGTGTGTGTTTCATTTAGGTGTTGAACACGTGGAAAGAAAGAGTTCGTAAGGATTTTTGGAGGAGCACGTTGTATTGAGATAGGTAAATGTGACACTTTTAAATTTAGAAGAAAATTTCAATTCTTTCCACCATAACATGTTTTATATTGTTGTGAAGATTTTTAGCATTTTTCCAATCGTACTGCTTTTATATCTTGTTATGCTCTTAATGTCATGCACATGTTTCTATGGTTGCCTAATTATATGAACTCATTTGGTAATGGTTTAGAGACAATGTGTTATCTTACATTGCAAGTACATCTCTTATGTGATGATATATATATTGCACTTGTTTCTTTCTAAAGTGATGAATAAAGAATGTACTTAGCTCTTTTTCTTTCCTCATGTTAACATGAAATCATGTAGCACATTAGGAGACAATTGACCATATGCATGAATAA